GCGATGACTCCGCCCTCAGGTGCCTTGTTGGAGGCTCCGGGGGCGTCGACTTCACCGAGGGCCAAGTTGTTGTCCTCAAGGGTTTTGGACTGAGCGCGGGTGGTTCTTCCCATTTCGATATGTGTTTTTGTGTTTGGTGAAGGGGAGGGTTTCTTACTTGATTGTTCGTCCTCTCAACGAGAGCACCAAATGATGGATAGTGTACCCAGGGGTAGCTTATCCGAGGGGTTATTGCGGAGAATAACTAGAGAGAAGTCAGAGCAAATAAGTAAGAGAGAGAGTGTATATTCGATATGTGAACTCCTCTTACTTTACAGCGGAGAATGGGCTGCTATTTATAGCAGCAAAAATGCGATGAGAGTACACGTGTCAACAATCCAACGGTCGAGGGGTCACCTCAATCGGGGTGGCACCGACACTTGTATGTGGCCGCATTAAATGCGGTGGTTGGATGCGACATTGTACTTGGTACGGTGATTCAGGTGCATGTGAAGAGGAGATCCTGTCGAGGAGGACGCCTTCGGCTGAAGGGTGTTGGGCCGAAGGCTCTTCTTACCGGGGGCCCTCTCTGTACCGAAGGCGTCAAGTGCCGAAGGCTTAGTTTTCAAGCCTTGTTCTCCTGTGATGTTTCTGAGCTCGATTCTGTCACTGGTAGCCTTCGGCCATGGGGCCGAAGGGACCCCTTTGCGTATTGTGGGCTGCTTGGAGCTTCATCTTGCTGGGCTTGGACCGTTTGGGCCTGTTGGGCCTGATTGCGGCAGTGGAAGTATGTGGGCCGGGGGTCCCTAGGCCATATACTCCATCATTAATCCTACTAAATATTATGGAATATATTTCACTTTTCGTCCTACGGGTTTTATGTCAATTCCACATGTAGTCCACGTCTTTCACTTTGTCGTGTTTTGATATATGACTATTATTTTTTGCCCAGATATGGTCCTTCCGCCAATATTTTTGGTGATTAAAATCGCCAAAGAAGGACCACAAATGGTCAAAAAACATTAGTCAAGTACCAAAAGTGGACAAAGCGAAAGACGTGGACTAAATGTAGAATTGACATAAAACTTGTAGGACCAAAAATGGAATTAATTCCAACATTACGCATAAAATCACTCCTATTTTAGTCCTATATGAGTAATTAACCCTAATTATTATACATAATACTTCATAGTTTTTTCTTAATACAGAAACTTAGTACTTAATAAAATACTTCGTATAAAACTCTTTGTAATAATAAAAAGATATTAATAAAAGAAGATATTAATAAATTATATTTCCTCTAATATTACTTTATATTATTCAGACATCATTCAAGTTAATTTCTCCAAACGAGACTACTTCATTTAGCTAGTAGTTTAATCGTATAGATTCAGCACTTAAAAATTAAGCTCCAAAAAATAATCTCTAGTTCACACAATCTCAATTCAAACAACAGCCTCCAGTTTTAGTTTGTTCTGCCTCCGTATCACAATAAGTGTCCTGTCCCTGTAGAATTTCCACGTAGTTTAAGGTAATTTATAGGTTTAATAAAGTGTATTGTAACTACTTTTGAGGTGAATTTATTTTCTTACGTTTTATTAGGAGATTTTTTGTACTGTAACAATACTCCTTATTTTATTAAAGTGTATTGTAACTACTTTTGAGGCGAATTTATTTTCTAAAGTCGAAAGGATCTGAGGATTTTATTTTGGTACGAACAAAACAAGAAAGTTAAATACTTTTTGTGATACGGAGGGAGTGAACAATACTCAACAAATATATTCTCCAATAAATTAGATATTGACTACATTGATTAGATACACATACCTAATTTTATAATAATGATATGACATGTTTATGTTATGACTTTCGTAACTTATTGCGAGTAAAAAGTTAAAATGTGTAATATTTGACGCATAATATTGATTATATTCTTAGAATTTTAAAATATTGTATAATTCACTCATTACTATTTATTTATGTAACATGACTTGCAAACAAAGCAAAAACAACCTAACTTAGAGGTTGTCGAAATTGCATATTTATAATTAAAGTAATGAAAAACTCGAATCTGCGCATTTATGTTTAAACTATTGCACACTTGAAATGCACAATTTCTATTTTTTTATATGCACATTTCTGTTTTACATTATTCATAATACCTAAATTCAGCGTTCCACGGTCGTACACTCGTACCTAAATTGTATTCTCATATGATCCCCTTTCTCTCTTTGTGTGTGTGCGCGTATCATTTGTATGATACATGATTACATGAGTACTTCAATTGATGATATGAATATTTCTGCAATACAAAATGAATATTTTTTGTATGTAATTAAGTACTATGTACAATTTTTTTTGCGAAGAAATAATTTAGCTTTCATTAATTAAATCATTGTTCAGAACATGAGAAATAAAAGGCGGGTAATCAAAGAACCAAGAGCGCAAATAAGACATAGAACAAGCAGCCCTAGCAATCACATGAGCTGTCTTATTCGCTGATCGCCTAATATGAGTGAAAGAAATGCTAGAAAAACTCTTCACTATATCTCTTATATCATCAGCTACCAAACCGTAGGAGGAACAACTGGATCCCTTCAAAATCTCCGAAATAGCACGGGCTGCATCTGATTCCACATCCACCGTTCTCCAGTCTGTCCCTTGTAGCTAGCTCAAAGCCTCCCTAATGCCAATTAATTCTACATCCAGTGGGAAGAGTCGCCCCAGCCAAGGTTTCGCCGCCCCTGCCACAAAGCTGCCATCTGCATCACGAAGATACCACCCAAGTCCACATTTATCAGCCCTCACTGCAGCATCTACATTCAATTTAAGCCTCCCAGAATGCTGGTCCTCTCCAGGAAGAAACTGTCGGATAATTATCCTTCTTCCCATTCCTGCGTGTAAGTTGAGCTTGAGACCATCCTAAGACATAGGCTTGAGCTTTCACTATAAACTGTCGGATAATTATCCTTCTTACTGCTTAGCGGTTGATTGTGTGGGTCACCATGGCGGTTTAGCTCTTTTGTGGGGAGAGGGTATGGAAGTTCTTTTGTGGGGAGAGGGTATGGAAGTTCAACTCCTGGGCTCAACTAGCAACTTCATTGATGTCAAAATTAGGTTGGAGGCGGGAGCTCCTGAATGGCGCTTCACAAGTTTTTATGGGCTTCCGGAGCGGCATAGAAGAAAAGAATCTTGGGGGATTCTTAAATCTTTGAGTACGAGAACTGATCTTCCATGGCTTATGATGGGGGATTTCAACGATATCATGGTTGCTTCTGAGAAACGGGGAAGGGTCCCATATCCGACTTGGCTTTTGAGAGGTTTCCGAGAGACTGTGTGGGAGTGCGGCCTTCAAAATTTTGCTTTTCATGGCTACCAGTTTACTTGGGAACGGTGGAGAGGCTCGCCAAATTGGGTTGAAGAAAAATTGGATAGGATTCTGGTTTCGGAGAGCTGGCTTGATATTTTTGGAGAAGCGTCGGCTGAATCACTTGAAGGATCTCCAAGTGATCATCTGGCTCTTTTTATTAAATTAGTTCCCTCACAAAGTGTGGCCAGGAGACGTAAATTTAAATTTGAGAATGTTTGGTTAAGAGAAGCGGACTTTCGCGAGATTGTGGCTCGTAGTTGGGGGCTTGGTCATGAATTCGGTATTATGGGGTAGGTTCATGCTTGCGGAAAGGCAGTGAGTGATTGGGGGTATCGACATGTTGGCTCTTATGGCCGGCGTATTAATTTTTGTAAAAAGCGGCTGGATTATCTACGCATGTGCACTGATCTTTGGAGTATTGGGGAGTTTCAGAGAGTTAAACAAGAGTATATGGAGTTAGTGGAAAAAGAAAATATGTTCTGGAGACAGAGAGCCAAGGAATTCTGGCTACTAAAAGTTCCACCTTGTTTAAAATAGGATATATGGCACCTATTTAAAATAGTAAAAGTTTTCATCAAGAATATTAACGACGGCCTCTTCAAGTGGACCATATTCACCAATGCTTGAATTGTCGCCGGGTTGCCAAGCCCCCGACAATTCCAACTAATGCAACTCAATGTTCCCGACGGGTCTGGAGGCCAGAACCTGCTGATTCCCCATTTTTTGAAAAAGTGATATCCATGTTTTGACATTTATTGTAATGTATTGCACTATTGCTTATTGATTGCCTATTACCGTTAGCATTTTTAAACAGTTAAAAACATAACCATCCTTGTAGAAACAAATGCAATTTTTACAAATACTAAAATTAATTTTATATCACACAGATAAATATGTATATGAATATATAGTGTATGTATTCAAGTAATTTTTACCGTTTAGCTCACCTAACCTCTCAGCTTTGCAGAAACCGTAAACTTGGGCAAGCCCATTCGGGAGTCTGTAAAGTTAAACTATTTGGGGGAATTTCGAGGACACGCTTTCGGACAAATACTAAAATTAATTTTATATCACACAGATAAATATGTATATGAATATATTGTGTATGTATTCAAGTAATTTTTACCGTTTAGCTCACCTAACCTCTCAGCTTTGCAGAAGCCGTAAACTTGGGCAAGCCCATTCGGGAGTCTGTAAAGTTAAACTATTTGGCCATTTTGATGATGCAGGGGACAAGCTTCCTATAGGTCTGCCAGCACTAATGATGTCCCCACAGGCAGTGAACCTAGGGAGGGTGAAACCGGAGCTTGTCCACAAGAGGGACCAGAAATACAACACATTGACGGCGGACGCGCTAAAGGAGTCTCGTGCGGAGATCCCAGAGCCGGAATGGATCAATCCTCAGGCGGACTACTGGAAACAGCACTGCAAAGGTTTCATCATTGACATTGAGACCCCTGAGATGAAGAAGAGGGCCGGAACTGCGTTTCCGTGATCCCTTCGGCCCTTCATTACTATTTTACTTACCCCCTAGTGAAAATAAATCTGTCTCATCAGCAATTTATTTCCCTAATAAGTTTGTAATGGTAGCTTGTATAAGAACGCTCAGAATAAATAATACTCCTCATGATGTATAAACTATGTGCATTACCTTCTCAAGATTTCATGATTTAAAAAGCATCGAACTCCAGGAATCATAATTAATTAATCAGGTATAGGACATCCTGATGAAGCAAAAAAATTGATAATCGGCGCAATCATCACATCATAACATTTAAAACACATGATTTCCACTGTTAAAACGCATGATTAACAGAGGATTTGGGGCACTTGTTAAACCAAGACAAACTACTGTGCAAAATTTTTATGTCACTGAGACACTTTAAACCTAATGAGCATTGTCAGCTGGATGCCGACTTAGTAGCGCAAGTGGATGAAGAACCTATTAGTGTGGCATTGGAGTTATGTATGAGATTTTCCTTGTGATAGTCTTTCATCGCCTTAAACCTCAAATCATCGGCATATGTAGCTGCCTCCGGGATTTCATGCGGAACTGCAAGCTTCCCCTCCAGCATTCCCACAACCTCTGACATAGCAGGCCTCAACGACGGGGTCGCACTGGTGCATGTCAGTGCTACTTTCACAATTATTTCTACTTCATCTTTGTTGACACGCTCTCCTAACCTCGGATCAATGAGCTCTTCAAGGTTCCCGCTCAGTTGTAAATGACAAGCCTGTTACATCATCAACGAATGCAAAGCATGGCATTAGTTTATTTTTTTGTCCTGTGTTTACACAGGGGTAACTTATTATTTTACTGCCTCACTTATGAAACCCCGCCCTTCCCCCATTTAGCTTTTGCAAAACTCCTCGGTAGTTTTACCCTTTAGTGGGTTTTAGGACCTTTATCTTTTCCTACAAATATGATCTGAACTACATATCTTCAAATTTAACCTGTGGTTCTGATCTGAATGTTTTGTCTAGGGATCTTTCAAATTGGGTTTTATTTGAATTTCAGACGTTTCTACTCTTATCCAACTTTTTCGTGCAAAATATAACATTTGTTCTGAATGTTTTTGCTCTAACCTAATTTGAATGCAATGAGGATAAGTAATAAGAAAAAAACAAAGTTGAACCGAACACCACTTTAGTCCTCAGTTGTTGCCGCAGAATAACAACCTTACCACCAAAGGACTAAAACAAAGGATGGGTTTTGCACAAATTGTAGAAAGGACTAAAAACACAATTGACTCTTGTCATTATGCTCAAGTAAACTGGATATAGCATGTGTGTGGGGTGTTGTTGAAGAGAATACCCAATCCAGAAGACATATGCAATTGTGGCTGGGCATGAAAGTATTGTTGTTCTTGCCACTAACTATTTCCAGTAGCACAACCCCAAAGCTGTACACATCTACCTTGTACGTCAAATAACCCCATAATGCATATTCTGGTGCCATATATCCTCTGAGTGAAAAAGGAATAACAAGACCAACAATTACAGACGCAGCAAGAAAGTGAGGCCAAAAATGAATATAATCTAATACTCGTGACAGTTAAATATTTTCTTTGTAGTAGTTTATGAGTGCGCAATGAACTTACATTGTTCCAGCAATTCTCGTGCTGATATGTGTTTTCTCACCTTCATTAAGCCTAGCTAGTCCAAAGTCCGAAATTTTAGGGTTTAGGTCTCGGTCAAGCAGCACATTGGTAGCTTTAATATCTCTATGAACAATTTTAAGGCTTGATTCCTCATGAAGAAAGGCTAGACCCCTAGCAATCCCTAAACAGATTTTGAACCTTGTTGGCCAATCTAACAGCATCGCAGAACCTAAAAAATAACAGACAAATTATTGGGAAAACATTAGTTATCCTTTAATATATTGCAACAGGGTAAATGGTAAACTGTATTTGATATTCATAATATCTCAGTGTTATACATTTTCTGGAGTAGAATGATTCACAAAAAAGTCAAATGCAATGGGACAACATTTTTTCAAGTATTTCATATCTATTTTTGTATTGTAATATGTTGTGTGCCATACTAGATCAGATGCTTATGGGGCTTGAATCTAATATATAAGCCTAGCTCTTAAGAGTCTTTTTTGGAGGTCCTGGACTCCTGGACCTAATCTAATATGATATCAAATTGATAGTAAGGATAGATACTAGAAGAAATAAATAGAATAGTTTGTTGTTAGTTGTTTTCTGTTAGTAGCTATTAACTAAAGTCAGTTGAGTTGTAATACTATAAATAGAATAAAGCTGAGAAATAAGGGAGGCTGTTTTGACTGTTTAGTCTATTCTGGGAAGATTGAGATAGTTCTCTCTTTTGGGGGGCTTCGGCCAATGTATTGCTTTCCCCGATAATAAAGATTCTTGAGTTCTTGATACTATTTCCTGACTTTCTCTTTGATTTTGCTGCAATTTCTGGAGGATTCTATCAGTGGTATCGGAGCACGTTGATCTCTGGATGAGATTTACGCTTGCTAAAATGGAAGGACGATTGAACGAACAGGAAAAAAATCAACGGGAATCAGCTGCAGCTATAGCGACGGATATAGCAGAGCTACGAGCTACGCTAGCGACCTTGGTGGAGAGAGGTCAACATCGATCTGGAAGCCGATCGCATACGTCGGACTTTTCGCATCTTTCTTCGCATCGGAAGTCGTTCCCCAGTTCGCATATTGATTCGTGAACTGTTTCTTCTGTTTCGCACTCACAAAAGGCTTCGTGCGGAAAAATGGGGAAGATCGCGGAAAAGGTGGAACGCGAAAGTTCGCAGACTGAATCGCGACCTTCGTATCTTGGTTCGAAATCGCGAACGGTTACTCTTAGTTCACCATCACGAACAGCATCGCTAAGCGCACAAGTTTCTTCGCTCAACTTATATCGCACTTTGCATCGCAGACATGTGAGAGATTCTGCTACTCCAGATGGTTCAAAAGGTAATTCTGATTACTTACCTTCGCATCAGGAACGCAATCATCACAGGGGCCATCAAAGTTATTGTTAGATTTATCAAGATTTATTGGTAGCTAAATAGACTCCTCTGTGTTTTTCTAGAACTGATCTTTCATCTTCTTTGACCTTTCATCTCCTCACTCTCATTAATGTACTTGTACACTCATTATTATAAATAAAGGAGTTCAAGGTTGTGGACAGACACACAACCAAAAAATTACTCTTCCTTTAACTCTCTTTTATTCAAGTTGGTATCAGAGCCCGATTCTGCCATCTCTATCCAGCCCTGGCCGCTGCTCATCGTCGCAGACCTAACGTCGTTGTTTCCATATGGCTTCCGGTCCAACCCAACTCTTCTCAGGAACTCCTTCTATCACTTCAGAGAAGCTTAATAGGAAAAATTATATGTCTTGGTCAGCTGTTGTGGAACTTTGGTTTCTGGGTACCATGACCATCTTGAAAAAGATGAAAATGAGATTAAGGAAAAACCTGAAAAATGGAAAAGGTTAGATTACCAGTTGTGTGCTCTATTATGGCAATCTGTAGAACCCAATATTTTAGGGACCCTCAGAACCTTCAAAACTTGCAAGATTTTTTGTAAGAAAGTCCAGGAGATCTTTGCAAATGATATTCAGCGCCTATATGATGGTGGTGCCGACAAGTTAGCATCTCTTAAACAGAAAGATCACAATATGATGTCGATCATTGCCGAAGCGCAAGCTGCTGCCGAAGAACTGAAGATGTCCTTAGAAGCTGAATCTGTAGAGGAAACCAAGAAGAAACTGGATAAATTTTATATGGTAATGATCCTCCGCCCTGTTTGTGAATTAGTGTGTAGAAAAATTCCGAGCCATGAACTCTGATTTCGATCACGTTAGAGATCAAATCCTTACTGGATCTGAGGTACCAACCATGGACAGTTTAACAACACGTCTCCTTCAGATTCCCACTCTCAAGGGTGACAAGTCTCAAGAACCTGCAGAGTTTTCAGCCATGGTATTTCATGGAAGAGGGGGTCGTGGAAACAGAGGAGGACGTGCAGGAAGAGGACGTCCCCAATGTACCCATTGCAAAAGAATGGGTCACACCCATGAGAACTGCTACTTTCTTCATGGGTTTCCTAATAAAACCGCCAACTTCTCTAAATCTAAAGTTTCTGAAGTTTCTGATCCAAAACTGTCTGGTGAGGAATACTAAGAGTATTTGAGACTAAAGTCCAACAACTCAGCAGAATCTTCCAAAACTCCGCTTACATCAACTGCTTGCGTTTCACAATCAGTAGAAAGTCAAAATCCATGGATAATTGACTCAGGTGCTTCTGACCACATTTCTGGTAATACTTCTCTGTTCTCTTCTCTCTCACATCTTAAACACCCACATCTTATAACCATGGCAGATGGATCCAAAACAGCTTCACAAGGAATTGGCCAAGTATCCCTTTCTCCTACCTTGAACTTAAAATCTGTTCTTTTTGTCCCCACATGTCCGTTTAACCTCATTTCATTAAGCCAATTAGCAAAGTCATTTAACTGTAATATAACCTTTGATGCTAATTCATTTGTTATACAGGAATGTGGAACGGGTCGGATGATTGGAGAAGGATATGAATCTAGAGGTCTCTACTATTTTGGACGTTTCGGGCATCCACATTTAGAAAAATTAAAGAAAATGGTTCCTGAACTCAGCGGTCTTCAAACCTTAGAGTGTGAGTCTTGTCAGCTCGAGAAACATGTTAGATCTTCATTTCCCAACTATTCTGAGTCTAGATGTAATTCTGCATTTTCTATTATCCATTCTGATGTTTGGGGACCAAGTCGGATTTCCTCTTTTGGTTTCAAATATTTTGTCACGTTCATTGATGAATTTTCCAAGTGTACTTGGGTTTATTTAATGAAGGACCGTTCTGAACTTTTGTCTATCTTTTCCTGCTTTCTTAATGAAATTCGCAATCAATTTGGAACAGTAATGAAAATTTTAAGGAGAGACAATGCCAAGGAATATTTCTCCTCTGGTTTTTCCTCCCTCTTAAGCTCACATGGCATTTTACACCAATCCACTTGTCCTCATACACCTCAACAAAATGGTGTAGCGGAAAGGAAAAATAGACACTTGATTAAGACTGCCCGTACTTTATTACTTGGTGCCAATGTACCAGTTCATCATTGGGGAGATGCTGTCTTATCTGCCTGCTTTCTTATTAACAGAATGCCATCCTCTTCTCTTAATAATAAAATCCCTCATTCTGTCTTGTTTCCTAATGAACCTCTCTTTCATGTTTCCCCTCGTGTGTTTGGTTGTGTCTGTTTTGTTCATGATATGTCTCCAAGATTAGATAAACTCTCGGCTTGGGCTGTCAAATGTGTTTTCTTAGGTTATTCTCGTCTTCAAAAAGGGTATCGTTGTTACTCTCCTGAGAATAAGAGATACTATATGTCTGTCCATGTCACTTTCTTTGAACGAACTCCTTTTTTCTCAGTTAGAGATCAATCTGTCCAGCCAGTTCTCCCTATACCATCTCTTGAGCCCTTTGTTCCGTCTATTGTCAATGACTCCATTCCCGATCAGTCTCCTTTAGATCCAGTAGACGACTCAACCAACCAAAGTCGTCCTCTTATTACCTACCAACGTAGGACCTGACAAACCAATTCAATTCTTCAAAGTGAGCCCTCTTTAGCAGATCCTTCTCAATCATCACCCTCTTCCACAATTCTTGATAATGATGATTTAGCTTGGCCGGTTGCTCTCAGGAAAGGTACTCGCTCTACCCGTAATCCACGTCCAATTTACAATTTCCTTAGCTATCATAGACTTACTCCTTCCTATTGTAACTTTATATCCTCCGTCTCCTCAATCACAATTCCCAAAGATGTGAAAGAAGCACTTGATCATCCTGGATGGCGACAAGCCATGATTGCAGAAATGCAGGCTCTTGAACATAATAAAACATGGGAATTAGTTCCGCTTCCACCAGGAAAGAAAGCAGTTGGATGTCGATGGGTTTATGCCATTAAAGTTGGTCCGAATGGAGAAGTGGATCGTCTCAAAGCCCGGTTAGTTGCCAAGGGATACACCCAGATCTATGGCCTTGATTATAGTGATACATTTTCTCCAGTGGCCAAAATGACTACTATTCGTCTCTTTTTTGCCATGGCAGCGATTTGTCATTGGCCACTTTATCAGCTAGACATAAAAAATGCATTCTTACAGGTGATCTGGATGAGGAGGTCTACATGGAGCAACCTCCTGGGTTTGTTGCTCAGGGGGAGTCTGGTTTGGTGTGCAAGTTACGCCGCTCTCTTTATGGTCTAAAGCAATCTCCACGAGCTTGGTTTGGAAAATTTACTTCTGTTGTTTAAGCGTTTGGGCTGAAACGTAGTGAAGCAGATCATTCTGTTTTTTATTGCCACACTTCTCCTGGTAAATGTGTTTACTTGATAGTGTATGTGGATGACATTATTATTACAGGAAATGATGCTGCAAAAATATCTCGCTTGAAGGAACACTTGGGCAGTCATTTCCAGACCAAGGATCTTGGGAGTCTCAAATATTTCTTGGGTATTGAAGTGGCCCAGTCAAAAGAAGGTGTTGCAATCTCTCAAAGGAAATATGCTCTTGATATGCTAAAAGAAACGGGAATGATCGATTGTAAGCCCGTAGATAGCCCTATGGACCCGAACCAAAAGTTATTGCTAGAACAGGGAGAGGTGTTTTCTAATCCAGAGAGGTATAGACGGTTGGTTGGGAAGCTCATTTACCTCACTATCACTAGACCGGATCTATCATTTGCAGTGGGTGTTGTTAGTCAGTTTATGCATGCGCCATACACTGAGCATTGGAACGCTGTCATTCGCATCCTAAGATACATAA